CTCCATGACAGTGGACTGTCAGTGTGTTCTCGTTGGCACACAGGATTCCACATTGCGTCTATTCGATGCGCTGACGGGCGAACTGTTGAACAAATATTTCGGTCATGTGAATAAAACATACAAGTAAGATTCGCTGTCAGGTTTACGGTCGAAACCAAGGCCGCCCAACTTTTCACCATCTCAACGTAAAATGTGGGTGTAGTTGTATTTGGTCCAAGGTTCGTATTTGTTGTGTGTGTGTGTGTGATGGGACATGTGTTACGCATGTTACCAGATAGGTTGCCGCGGTGAGCGATATTTGCCGAGGCAGGTAACGGCTGGAAAAAGGTCAAGGTCGGTCAAACGAAGACTTGGCATGAGGGTATGAAAACTGCAATCAGGAGATTGGGTCACATAAGTCCCGTTAGGCTCCCTGGCTGGGGACCCAGGGATCATGATCACCCGTGGTTAGAGACACTGAGCTATGTGGCTGGGTGTCGCAAACAGTGGCATTCATGTATCCACTCCTTATTCCTGTAACATCACTCTCTATGAATTCTCCATCTTCCGCTTGAATTTACTCTAAACATTCCATTCTTCACTCTGTTCTCTTATCCAAATGGGCAACCAAAACCGGCTCTCGAAAGTGCATGGTTAATAGTTGTAAAAACTGAAACTGAACTGTGTGAGCGTTCTTTTTTGTCACCGCGGATGCCCCTTGTGCGGTATCTTTCAACTGTCTATTCCATTCCACAGCTGCACGTCTGGCTGTGTGGCCGAAAACGGTTTTTGTACCATTTACGACTTCGGTTCAACAGGGGGTGTGCAAGAAATGAACTCCGGACGTACACGACGTTTGTTCGAGATAACGCAGTACCTGTGGTTGTCCCATCCGTACCGTCAGTTACATACACAAAGTAAAATCAAGCATCGCATGTTTTCTGCCACGGAAGGGCTTCCACCACAGTTATCTGTGCTTTTTAATAAAAGTTATCATCTGTTTGTAATCGGCCGTTTTGCTTAACATAACCCAATATCTTCACTATTATTATCATTATGATCGTCATCAATTGTTGATTTACTTTCTGCACTGTCGGGCCTAATTAACTGACTATCACGGAAAACGACGCTTGAACAAACAGGAATTGGCAATTTGGTTCGGCCATAGTGTGAGTTGGTTGGCCTAGTGGTAACGCACACACTTTCCATGCGATGGGTCCGAGGTTCGAACCCAGGGCGGGATGGTGGTTATACACTACTGATGTGCTCTAATAAGAGCGAGACTCGATTCTAGTACTTCCGAGTGTATGGTTGAATCGATGAACTGAAGATTGAGCGTGAAGGTGAAGTCCGAAGTCCTGTTTCTTTTCTTTACACCTGATTGCGCATCCCCATCGGTGAAACTAATAGCCGGGGAATTTCATTTCTCCTCGCTGTTTCATAACCCGCGCCAACTGAAATGTATTATCGAGTGCTCTCGTACCACAGTCGATATGCCGTCCACTTCTAACATTTCATCGTGATATCTAAACAGGCCTGGTTGAGTGACAAACGATCCGGTTCGAAATTTGTATTTTCAAATTTCTATCTATGATAGGCCCGTCATGACATGATCGTGTAACAGTTTGTTGCAAACCAGACAGTTTTTAATTTGGGACACCTTGTGCTCTAATTAAACAATCAAACGCGGCATCTGTACGTGACGGATACTGATCATTTTCTAATCCATGGCTTTCCAGTAAACATGGTCAAAAACCATTAAGAACAAATATCAACTCTCGTTTTCCGGCATTTCCAACCGTTTGCTCCCAGATTTTCCCGGCTTCCGTTTTTTTTTTAAAAATTTTCTTTTTTTTCAGAATGGACAGTGTGCTGATGAATTACGATGCGCACGTAGCCAGCGGTTCCGAGGAGCTCGGTCTTGTTTTCATTTGGGATTTCGTCCGATCGAACGAGTCGTTGCTCACACTGGATCACAGTCCCGGCGGACCAGCCTGGGGTTATCTGCCATTTAGTGATAGTGCTGTAAGCTCGCTCGCAATTGAGGCGGCAAAATCGACCAATTTTCTTGTTCACTCGTTGTCCGCCCATCCCAATCAGAGTCGTTTGCTCACATCGGGCGGTGATTTTGTGTGGCTTTGGGATGCGGAGCCGGATGTGACTGATAAGGACCAGTCCGATTCGAATGCTCTATAGAAAATGGAATGAGATTGTACAAATTTGTAAATATTATTTTTCCATTGCCTGAGACTAGTTCTTCTATTGTGTCGTTTTTGATTGGTTAAAAATTAAACCGTCTTTTCTTTGATGATATCACGTGATACAAAGCGCTGTTGTGCAAGATTGAACTACACAATATGTGGTAAAATAGCAGCTTAGATGAAGAAACTCGCAACCGCAACAGCTGTTATGTTTTGCTCCGATGAAAATGACATTAATAAGGAGTTAACGCACAATAATGGGATATGCAATTTAACGTTTACGTACTTTCTTACTTTTGAGCGGATAACTCCTGTGAGAGGCGGCTTCTTGGTTGTCTCTAACGCTGGCAGCCGGCGCGTGACGATCGGCGGCAAGGTTGGCGCAGTGCGAGACCCTGTTCTGGTTCTAGTCACGAATTCCATATCCAGATTGGAAGCCCAGTAATTCCAAATCCCCCCGAGATCGTACGGCTTCAGGTCTTCAGTTGACCACCANGGCAACGCCATCCACGGCACGGTGCAGGGGCTACAGCCTGCCGTGAGAGGTAAGTGTCGGGCCACGTTGCCAAACCCTTGAAGGCGTTGGCGTTGTAGCATTTGGAAAGTCTTGTCGATGTTCGAGCAGCACCGACGAACCTCATCATTGAGAACCTGGTCTCTCCAGTTTGCTTTCGAGAAGCATCAATCAATGATCGAAAACCTCGACCGTCCTCGTATCTTGTATACCTAATCTAATATTTTTAGTAACAGCATTTCCCCTGGTGGGATCGTGACACAGTGCCGTAAATGATCATTCATCATTGTTCAGCCTTTTGGACCGGCTCAAGCGTCTGCTTTAAACAGAAATAGATCATGAAAACTCTTCTCATCTGTCGCATTTCAACAGACTAAGTTTTTGTCATAATCTGGAACACAGAATGTTGGACTTTTCACTATGCACAAGCAATACCATATAAGTTTTCAGTTTTACAACCATTAACCACGCACTTTCGTGCGCCGATTTTGGTTGCCTATTTGGATAAAAGGGCGAAATGAAGATTGGAATGTCGAAGCAAATTCAAGCGGAAGATGG